GTATTAAAGCTTTAATCAGAATAAAACCGTATATTAAAAGCTAACAGAAGCAGTAGCATTTACAAATAACAGCGTATCTAAAAGTATGAGACTACAACAAACAAAAATCTTAGGCCTACCATTAAAAGTCGTGCTTGCACAGGTTCTGTGCGATCCTCTTCACTAATATCCTCTGTGTCTCAATCGGGCTCAAATTGATAAGCAATATAGACGACGTCATTGTTTACAATACAACCGGAGCACATGCCGCTATGTTGAGGGGCGGGACGTTTAGAGGCGGTTTAGCCCATCACAAGACACTGGGCTAGCTAATCAATCAGCCCATCGTGTATTTCTGAGGGAGGGGCTTCATAAAAGCGGGAAATGATCAGCACATTCAGAGGAGAAGGGGCAGAGCCGTGTGGAATAAAGGTAAATTATGTGAAAAATAATGCGTTTTTTAACAAACGAAGCATTAACACATGTTAGACTGCACCCCATAAACACAATCAAGCCTATAAAAAAAACAGTCAACCACCCCTTTAATATAATCTATATAACACTAAGAGTGCCGTTTTTCTCAGATATAAGCATGATAATAAATATAATATTGATTTTATACAAGTTTAAGAAAGTTATTAAGTTAACTTACATTTTTCATTCCTGAATGAATCAACCTTTTGAATTAGGTGACTTGTTGCCACCTGCTGGTGGCTTTAATTTAATTGAATTTAATTCTCAAATATCAATATTCAGCATTTTATGTTTAAAACAAAACATTATTTATGCATTTGTAACTGCTGGTTAAATGCATCCATGTCCCTGTGAGCTGCATTAAACATTCTGTGTAAATGAATCTAAATGCCACTTCAGATGCAGATTCCATATGTGCAAAAACTGTTTTCTTATGTTGGAATGAAAGAGTCTTTGTACCAGATGAAGTGGCTCTTATGCTAACCCAAAGAGTTCAAACTGAACACAATCTTGCTGCTCAAACTGTGTATAGAACAATTTTTTAATATTTATTTGCTCCTTTTCTATTTTGATTTTACTTGTACTTTTACTTTCAATACTTACGTAAGTTTAATTTAGTTTAAAAATACTTTTCATACAATACATTTCACATACTTTAAAACTTTTACTCAAGTAATATTCTAAACGATGACTTGAACTTCTACCAAAGTCATTTTCTGGTAAGATATCTGTACTTTTACTTAAGTGTGGCTTTCAAGTTCAAGTATTTTCAAGTATACTGAATATACATAACCTTTGCACAGAACTATCAAAGATGCATGCTAAAACTCTCTCCATTGCATCCCATTTAAAGGGATGTCCTTATCAACCATCCCTACTTTAATAGATCAGTGGTAACTACTGTGTAATGTGCCCTGTCGAAATGCTTCTCTTCAGACTCCAGCTGTAGATGTTGTGGGTGTGGGTTTAGCATCTGGGCAGATCATCATTCACAATATCAGATTCGATGAAACGCTGATGAAGTTCCAACAAGACTGGGGTCCAGTCACAGCTTTATCCTTCAGGACAGGTAATGTGTATACTATTATACCTTGTGTATGCTATATTTTTCGGTCCATTGTATTGCACTTACTTTGTCCTTGCCATGCAGATGGACATCCAATAATGGCTTCTGGAAGTCCTATTGGACACATAGGTCTGTGGGATTTAGAGGAGAAGAAATTTGTCACTCAGATGCGAAATGCTCATACAACAGCCATCGCTGGCCTCACGTTTCTTCAAAACGAACCCCTCCTGATCACCAATGGAGCAGACAATGCCATACGGGTTTGTTTTTCATGATGTAATTAGGGTTGGGCGACATGGCCAAAAATATTAACACAATATTTTTTTCCATATCATAAGATATTGAGATATTTATCACGATATTCATTTGCAATTAATGGGGAAGAAAATGCTTTCCACATGTTTGTTAGACCATGAGAATGAATGTAAACATAACTTGTTTGTTCACAATTAAACTCCACAGAGTAAGATACCTTTAGGGACCCATGAAATCCATTTTCCCCTAAATTCTCTTGTATGATTCCATACAAATTTATCATAAAAAATGGTGTCTAATAAAAAATGTTGTTATACAATAGTAATATATTTCTGCCATAATTTCTTCAAGTTAAACCAAACATTTATTTTGACGGATTGACATGAAAAAAATTTTGTTATACAATAGTAATATATTTCTGCCATAATTTCTTCAAGTTAAACCAAACATTTATTTTGACGGATTGACATGAAAAAAATTTTGTTATACAATAGTAATATATTTCTGCCATAATTTCTTCAAGTTAAACCAAACATTTTTGACAGATTGACATGAAGATCTTTCAGTTTAAGTTTCCGTGTCAATATTTGACAGTAGATTTTTTCTCTGGAATGTAAATCTGGTGAAGTAACTATCAGGGCAGCCCTAGAGATAAAGTTCATCTGTTCATGTCCTCATATAGTTATAGCTATAGTTTGCGTATCAGACGAAACGGTGACATTCATTCACACACAGACATGCAGAACATGCAGACTTATTAGCAACATGCACTGACTGGCTGTTGTCACGTTTATTTCTACTGTGTGATAGACTGTTAGATTAATCCATACCGAGTAAAAATGTCAAGCGCTCATCATCGCTATTGACGTAAATTTTATCATGATCTCGATATGATATCATTTATCGCCCAGCCCTAAATAGAATTGCAATGTGTTGAATGACAGTAAACAATGGCTTGTGTGATGTAGGTGTGGATTTTTGATGTTGCCGGAGGGGACGGCCGTCTGCTAAGACAGCGGACTGGTCACAGCGCCCCACCAACAAAGATTCAGCACCACGACCAGAGCAGCTTAAACATTCTTAGTGCAGGTACTGTCATAAATCAAGGATTGAAGATAAGGGAAATCGTTGTAGATAAATGTATTCAAGCACAATGATACTAATTTGTTTTCTTCTCATAATAGGTCAAGATGGTACTTTGCAGTCATTTTCAACTGTTCATGAAAGATTCAACAAGAGTTTGGGGCACGGTAATAACTACTTGGCATGTTCTTGTTAGTGCATGTAAAGGTGACATTTGTATGTGTAATAATAATTAGCAGCACCAAACACAATTGTATCAAAAAGAATTCGATTTTTTTTTTTTACAATGGTTTTCAACCCTGTATAGCCGGACATATGATGTAGTGGTCAGAAAAGTCTTGTGAAGGAAAAAACAAAAAAAAGTTATTCCTACGTTTACTTTATAAAAATCATTAAGGGTTTTACAGCAAAAAGACATGTATAGCACAACCTGAAGGGGGCATTTTTTAAAATTATACTAAAAGGACTTTTCCTTGCTAAAATGTGTAAGTTATCAATCAGATTACATAATGCAGGTAGTAGATTGTGTACAACAGTTTTTTTTTTTTTTCAGTTTTGATTATGTTGATAATCTAGAGGCCTTAGAAATTTGCCTATCAAATATGTTACAGTAGGCTTTAGAGCAGGGGTGTCCAAACTCGGTGCTGGAGGGCCGGTGTCCTGCAGAGTTTACCTCCAACTTGCCTCAACACACCTGCCTGGAAGTTTCTAGTATACCTAGTGAGACCTTGATTAGCTGGTTCAGGTGTGTTTGATTAGGGTTGGAGCTAAACACTGCAGGAAACCGGACCTCCAGGACTGAGTCTGGAGACCCCTGCTTTAGAGGGTTAATACTTTGCTAGGGTGTTCTTGAAGTTTAATACTTTTTAATTAAGTAAGTACTTTTTTTTTTTTCCAGTGTAATACTTTTGCGTTTGTTCAGATTATTAGTAATAGAGATCCTTGCCATGTTTCCAAACAAGGTTCCCTTTTAAAAACTATTCAGCCCCAGTTTTCCATCATTCAGTCTACCTAGTCAATTATTTGCTTATTTACTTATTGCAGGTCGTTCTTCCACCCCAAACTCACGCCATTGGTTGGCCAGTGCTGCTGTATTATGGCGTTATTTTAATGACAAATGTCAAGAGCGCATAATTGTAGCGCGAAAGCACATTAATATAATGCGCGAGTGCGAATCTCTCCGCTCGTGCGCGGATTTCCTTTGCTCTCACACAAAACCGGACGCGCGCGCTCAGATACACGCTGCTCTCGCCTGGAGAGAGTGCGCGCACTTAAAACGTGTCTCTCCTCTCACTCAAACTGTGTCCTGTGCACTCACAAATCTCTCTGTGCTCATGCGCTATATATATTAATTCTTTGCGAGCAGAGAGATTCGCGCTCGCGCATTATATTAATGTGCTTTCGCGCTACAATAATGCGCTCTCGACATTTGTCATTAAAATAACGCCATACTGTATCTGTCTCTCAAATAAACAGTGCTCTGTTTTGAAACAGAGACAGCCGACAAATAGTTACTTGTTTTACACATTAGTTCAAACTATTTTTATAGTGTAACATTGCACACTTCACTTTTTAAGCTCATAATTATGAGCATATTCACATTATGGAGACTGATGTCATTTTGTTTTGCTCCATGTAGTATTTGCATTGTATAAGGCTTCAGTAGTCATGTTTACCAACAGGCACCCTCAACAAAACAAGAGCAAAAAAGAAAGGTGTGAGGAATGACACGGCAAAACTTCCAGCCATCACAACTTTTGCCTCAGGTGTGATTTTTATTTTGCTTTTAAATTGAATAATGTATACATTTTTTAAAGGATTGGTTCACCCCAGAATGAAAGTTCTGTCATCGTTCCCTCATCATTAAACTTTTGTTCATGTTTGTAACAAAGGAGGATATTTTTAATATGCTTTCATCAATTTTGTCCATCCATTGAAAGCTAAATTTTCGATCTTCAAAAAGCACATAAAGACATTGTAAAGTAATCCATATGAATTGAGCAATTTATTTGAAGTCTCCATATATTATTATGGCTTTAAATTTAGCCTTATTTTCACATGTAAACATTAAACAACCGACATACAAAGAGCACATCAAATATGATAAACGGAAGTGCAATCGTGTTTGTGCATGACGCACAAGAACAAACCTCATTGGTTCAAGTGCACACGTTTAGGTTTCCTAAAAATATTGAACTTCTTAAAGGGATAGTTCACCCAAAAATGAAATTTGATGTTTATCGGCTTACCCCCAGGGCATCCAAGATGTAGGTGACTTTGTTTCTTCAGTAGAACACAAACAGATTTTTAACTCAAACCGTTGCAGTCTGTCAGTCGTATAATGTAAGTGGATGGGAATCACGGCTTTGAGAGTCATAAAACATACACAAACAAAACCAAATTAAACCCTGCGGCTCGTGACGATACATTGATGTGTAAAGACACAAAACGATCGGTCTGTGCAAGAAACTGAACAGTATTTATATCATTTTTTACCTCTGATTTTCACCGCAATGTCCAAACTGTCCTGAGCAACAGCCGGCACGTGACGCGTCTTCTTCGTCTTCTTGCTTTACGGTGGATCGCAGACTTACAAGTGCATTACCGCCACCTATCTCTCAAATGGACCATTGACACTCCTAATCGAGATTGTAGATAGAGTGTAAGTGGTCCATTTGAGAGATAGGTGGCAGTAATGCACTTATAAGTCTGCGATCCGCTGTAAAACAAGAAGAAGAAGAAGAAGGCGTCCTCAGCCGCAGGCTAAAGAAGAAAATGCGAACACGCTCAGGACAGTTCGGACATAGCGGTGAAAATCAGAGGGGAAAAAACGATATAAATACTGTTCAGTTTCTTGCACAGACCGATCGTTATGTGTCTTTACACATCAATGTATCGTCACGAGCCGCAGGGTTTAATTTGGTTTTGTTTGTGTATGTTTTTTTGACTCTCAAAGCCGTGGAGCCCATTGACTGCCATTATAGGACTGACAGATTGCAACGGTTTGAGTTAAAAATCTCTGTTTGTGTTCTACTGAAGAAACAAAGTCTTGGATCTTGGATGCCCTGGGGGTAAGCAGATAAACATCAAATTTCATTTTTGGCTGGACTATCCCTTTAAAAAATATGTTCATTTAAGTTCCGAAGATGAACAAATGTATGTTTGGAATGACATGAGGGTTTACTTTTTTTTTTTTTTTTTGGATGAATTATCCCTTTAAGATTTTAAACTCCGAGCTTATATATCTCTTTATATCCAAAACTAGTGTTAGAATGATCTTATAAAGAACTAAATAAAATAAAAATACTGAAATCCATGACTGTCTTTAAACCTCCTGATGTTATTTTGTATAGAAACTGCTCGTCAGAGTGACTGGGATGGCATTATTGCATGCCACCGTGGTTTCCTTGTGACTACGACATGGAACTACCAGAGAGGTTCGATTGGTGCTCACAAGCTGGAACCTGAACGCTTCAACAAGAACCGTAGCCTCAATGTCCATGCAACTGTAAGTTTGTAGATAATATGTGTGCTTACATGATTATTTAGCTTTATAACAGATGATTTCAAATCCCATTTGGCCATATGTTGTCCAGGCTGTTGATATCACATCCTGCGGGAACTTTGCAGTGATTGCACTGTCTTCGGGACACATTGATGTGTACAACATGCAGTCTGGTTTTCATCGAGGGCATTATGGGAAGGACAAGGGTGAGTTAAACATCTGAACATCAGGGGCGAAATACATGCCATTTCCAGTCTGATTTCAGTGGCATTTTTGTGTGTGTGCAGCACATGCAGGGGCTGTTCGCGGGCTCTCTGTGGATGCTCTGAACCAGTTGACAGTTAGTGTGGGAGCAGATCGCCTTCTGAAAATCTGGAGGTTCAGATCCAAGGAGCTGTTACACACACACAGCCTGCCAGCTGCCCCGGCGTCATCTCTGCTTCACAGGGACAGGTATTAGAGACATTAATACATTTCCCCACTTTTTCATTTTAAATGCAGTATGAATTAGTGACCAAAAATTTATTTTCAGTTTTGGCTGAAACCGTTTTGGAGGGCAAAAATTTTTGACCGAAATGGGGATGTTTTGTTTTTGGCTAAATGAAAACGTATATTTTGTTTTTCGGTAAAAAATTCATTTCGGTACATCACTTGTATGACTGTAAATTTGAAAAACTTTAAAAACAATTTTTCACGCTACGCAAGATTAGCAGTTGAGATGTGAAACTGCAAGTTACTTAGGGAGGAACATTGTTTATAGGAGCTGGGCTTTGACTTGCTCTTCAGCATAAATGAATATGATGATTTATGGCATACCATTGCACTCATGGGTTACACATGATATTTTTATCATAGCGAATGTCACTAACAGTGTCAAAACTTGTAAGCTTCTTTCTGAATGTATTAGCTAGCTACTGTTGATTCCTCAGGGTAAGGCAAGGAGACAGTTGTAAACTGAACTTTTTTTTGGACCTCTTCTGTAGTGCAGCTTTAAAAGGGTTTAGTAAATTATATGTTGGTAAATGTCAGTGTTTTTTTTTTCTAGTGTTCATTTAATGACAAAACATGCATTGCTTATTTCTAGATTTTTACTGAATTCTAGTTCATTTTAAGTAGATTTTATTGAAATTGAAAACATTCTGGATCTACCTGGCTACAATGGGTGTATGAGAAGGGAAAGAACTTTAAGCCATTTCAGAGATGACATTGTTTGAATGATGTTGATTTATGCTTGATCTCTCCGAACAGCGGAATGCTCGCCATCGCTCTGGATGATTTTACCATTCACATTCTAGACATGGAGACAAGGAGGACTGTCCGCAGATTCTCTGGACACCGTGGGCAGATCAACGACATGGTGAGCTTAAGGGACAAGTTTTACCAATTCCATTTGAAATTCACACATTTCTTTGACATCTTTAAGAATAAGTTGAACGCAAGTGTATAAGTAAGTGTTTATGAAATGTGCTTCATGCTTTTTGTCCAGACATTTAGTCCAGATGGACGTTGGCTGATTACAGCGTCTATGGACTGCACCATCAGAACATGGGATCTTCCATCTGGCAGGTATAAAGTTTAGAGCATAAACCAAGGCTGTTCAACTGGGCCCTATAATTAATGGAGGAAATTGCTGTGCTGCCTGATACATTTCTCTATTGCGTATATTAATATTTGCTAAGGAAAAACACCCAAGTGAAAAGAATTCAAAGACATTATTGGGGGTGGGAATCTAGGTACCTCACAACGTTGATTCTGGGACTCGCAATCCGATTGTAAAAGGATTCTTGATCTGCATTTTTTTGCTTATTAATGAATGAATTGTTTTTTATTTAAAGTACTTTTTAAAATAATGACATGCCAGATGTTTCAGTTTCACTTTAAATAAATTTGTTCAGGCTGTTGTTTACAATGAATGCCACTATAATTGAAGTTTGTTTAATTTTTCATTCCAGTTCTCTGAATACAATTAAATTAAAAGGATTTGTTGTGGAGTGAGGAGAACTAAAATAGGCATTTGTGGTGTTTATAATGTCAGTAAATGTTTCAGTTTATTTGTTTATTTATTTATTTTTAATTTGGACAATCTGGCCCTGAAAGAAAGTAACTGTAGAACCCAGGCATAACCCTAAATTCTTTAATTGTGATTCTTAGAGTGCTAAGTGAGATTGCATCATTGCATCTACTACAACCCACAAAAGTAGCCTTTTGCAGGAGGGAAAGACCAGGCCAGTCCAGTGACACCTTTTCCACTTTCTGTATTATTTACCGGTTAGATATTTGTGATGACCTTTTCTGTTTACTCAGTCACCGATGGTTTTCAAAGTAACCGGTAAAACCAAATTTAGAGATAATTATTATCTTTCAAAGATGTGGCCGTAGTGACATTTAGTATGTCGGATATATTTTCATTTGTCTAACGGGGATTCCTCTAGCCGATGAAGTCCCCTCTGGCCCAACTGAGTGACTGAATGATTTCCTTTCACACTTTCATACCCTTCCACATTCTCTTGTTGTCTTTCATAGTTTGGTCGACTGTTTCCTGGTAGACGCAGCAGCCGTCAGTCTCAGTATGTCCCCTACCGGGAACTTCCTGGCCTCTTCGCACGTTGATGGTCTAGGTATTTACTTATGGTAAGAGATTTACTTGCAGATACTGTGTCTGTCAACTCTTGTTTTTACTATTCAATTAGTTATTTCACACACTTAAGATTTAAGATTAGAACAGTAGAATTTTGGAAAACAATTAGCTAATGATTATGTTATTCATCATGACTGAACAGGGAAACGGTATTGTGGGTTGAGTTCTTGAGGTTGCAACATTAATCTGCTGATGAATGTATGAATGGCTTAATTTTTTTTAAAGGAATAAATAGTTTGTTCATTTACTCATGCTAACGTTGTTTCCAAACCGTGATTTTTTTCTCTCTCTCCGTACAACACAAAATCAGATGCTTTGAGAAATGTTCAGGCCGCTCTTTTCCATGCAACGGAACATATACATGCATATATGTGAAAATGTCACATCTTATGAAAATGTCTTAAATGTCTCTTGTCAGTCTGATAAAATAATCAGTCAAAATGCAGTGACTTACCATGACATGCGCTTGAAATGCAAGGTTAAGTTGAGTTCATTGGGATACAGTACCCCAGCACTGTATGCTTTGTTGTTGTAGGTCAAGTAGGTATTCAGTGCATACATAAAATTTGCACGCTATGTGCATTATACATATTTCATATTGTAGAAATGTTAACCCTATAAAGCCTACTGTATCGTATTTGATAGACAAATTTCTAAAGCCACAAAATGTTTAAATGATCAAAGCTTTACTTAAAAAAAAAAAAAAACCTGTTGTACACAGCCTACTAAATACCTTCTGTTGTCTGATTGATAGTTCATACTTTTACGTTTAATTCTAAAAATCAGGTCGTGGTACGTGTCTTTTTGCTGTAATATCTTTATTGATTTTTATGAAGTAAACATAAGAAAAAACGATCCATGGATAATCATGTTAAAATGGATCAAATATGATACATCAGACTTCTGAGGAACTTTTATTTGTACGTTTTTGTACTCAGTCATCATTGTATTTAAGTAATATGCTGTTCCAAACATAGCCTGTAATGACCCTTGGCTTTTAGTTTCATGATTCAAAGAAGTTGCTTTATGAAATATTGTATATTCAGCCTTGCTGTCTGTTTGGTTCTTTTCTAGGTCCAACAACACACTGTGCAGTCTGGTGTCATTGCGCCCTCTACCTGCAGACTATGAGCCGACTGTGATCATGCTGCCAGGCACCTGCCCAAGCAGAGGTGCGAGAGCAGTCAGAGCACATTATCATATTGATTATAATTTTAAAGTCATTTAACTTGAGACTCGAAGTCCCGTTGATTGTGTGCTTGTCAACAGATACAGAAGAGGAGGAAGTTTTAGATGCTGACAGCTCTGAGATGGCTGAGTACATTTCACCAGCACAGCTGGATGAACATCTGATCACACTCTCTCTGCTTCCTGACTCACGCTGGAAGAACCTGCTGCATCTGGACATCATCAAGGTATGTGCATGTAAAAATAGGGGAGAAAACAGTGGTCTGTGCTTAACTGAGATGTGTTTGAAAGGCCATTACAGATCCTTTAAAATTGTGAAAAAACTGCATCTACAGAAAAAGAACAAACCCAAAGAGCCTCCAAAATTGCCCAAAGCTGCACCCTTCTTCATTCCCACCATTCCAGGGCTGGTGCCCCAGTTTGCACTACCCAGCACACCCTCAGAGGACCAGGTAAATACTCTTGATAATGTCTCTATTGAGTTTGGTGAAGTATTTATTGTTGTTGGGAATTTATTTGTTCATTTTAAGATTATAAAAATCAGGGGGTTTCAGTGTTTTGATGGTTTAAAAAAAAAAAAACATTATACAAATATGTTGTAGTTATGTATATGTATTATTAAGTTTGGCTAAAATATTGACTGGAAAATATGAAAACATTATTTATATTATATATTATGTAATATTATATATTATATATATCATGTTTCTATTTTTACCTAACCCACCATGAGAGAAAAAACCCCATAACATATAAATATATTCAGCACAGACTAATTAAATTGATCATTAGTGAAAGTAAATATTTTTAGTTGTTACAAAAATGTTTATTTAAAATAAACTCTCAGTATTCATAATAATAAGAAATGTTTCTTGAGCCACAAAACAGGATATTAGAAAGCTTTCTGAAGGATCATGTGACACTGTATTCTGGAGTAGTGGCTGCTGAAATTTTGAATAAATTATATTTTAAAATACATATTAAAAAAGGAAAGTTATTTTAAATTGTAAAAATTTTTTTTAATAAACGTTTAGTAAAACGTTTTTACTTTTTATTTGGACGTAATTACATAATGTATATTTAAATATATTATGCATATGTGAAATTTTAATTAAAATTGTTTTTTTTTTTTAGTCTAAAATTGTCAACTTGGGAGTGTTGGCACAGAAGTCCACCTTCTACCTTCAGCTTGAGAACGCTTTAGACAGCAACTCATGTAAGCCCTTTATGCTTTCATTTGAAATGATGCTGTACTATTGAATTTGCGTTTGTAATCTGAGTGATTGCTGTGTTAATCATCTGTTTCCTCTTGATAGATGAGGAGCCAGTAAAGCTGTTGAGAGAGTTAGGCCCCTCTGCCATTGAAACAGAACTTCGGGCCCTGTCACCAGATATGGGTGGAGATGTCAGAGTTATGCAGAGCTTCCTCAAGATGATCAGCAGCATTCTTCAGTCCAAAAGAGATTTCGACCTGGCTCAAGCCTACCTAGCATTGTTCCTTAAGGTACGATGTGAGCAATCTGCTGATGTTTATTTTTCACATTTCCATACAACTGCATTAGGCTTGCCGCGATAGACGGTGCTGACGGTGATACCGGTGTTAAGCCGCAACACCATTCGTTTTGATGATAAACGTTCTACGTTTCTTATTTATTTGGTCATATATTATACAGGTTTACTTATTTCCACTTTTGTATACCTATTAAACTTTATGCAAGTTATTTGTTATTTTATATTAGGCATAGCTTGCCCTATAGCATGGTATATTTTTATTTGTTTTGTTAATAAAAGTTATGTTTTATATATAGACAGACTAAAGTGAGTTGACGTTGTATTTTGTTGTTGCATTCAAGCAATTGATGCTGAACTGCGATTAACCAGTGGGAAAATGTCCTCACTGTCACAACCCTAAACTGCATATCAACTTTATAACACAATAGTTTTGGCTTTTAGTTCTAGTACAAAGCTGTAAGACAAGACTGTCAGTTGCTTGGTTTCTGTTTCTTTCTAATCATGCTGGGAAGCCCATGTTCACTGTCAAACACCATTTGATTTGGACTCAATTCACCAGATGGCTTTCCTTAAATATTTAGAATATAATATTAATGTCATGTTTTTGATACAAATTAATTAATCTCTGATAATTCAGTTCCACAGGAAATGAAGATGTGCTATAAACAATGAAGGGTTTAAATTGTGAAAATTAGAAAATTGTTGAAAGCAAGGCTGCATTTATTTGATCAGAAATACAGTAAATAGAAATATCATTCATTCATTCATTTAAAATAACTATTTCTATTTGAATATATTTAAAAATGGCACATGGTCCTTGAGAAATCATTCTAATATACGCTGATTTCGTGCTCAAGAAACATTTCTTATTTTTATAAATGTTGAAAACAGTTTTTGCTGCTTAATATTTTTATGCCAACCATAAAACACTGATATAAAAGGTTGGAGTTAGTACATTAATAATAATTTAAAAAAATAATAGTTTTATTCAGCAAAAATGTGACAGTAAAGACATTTGTAATGTTACAAAAATATTCTATTTCAAATAAATGCTTTCTGTTCGTTAAAGAATCCTGAAAAAAATGTCAGTTTCCACAAAAATATTAAGCAGCAAAACTCTTTTCAGTGTTAATAATATTAAGAACCCTTATTAATAATTGAGCACCAAATCAGCCTATTAGAATGATTTCTGAAGGATCATGTGACACTGAAGACTGGAGTAATGATGCAGACATTTTAGCTTTCAGCTTTTTTTAAGGTATGTTCAAATAGAAAGTCATTTTAGATTGTAATCAAATTTCACAATATTACCGTTTTCACAGTATTTTTGATCAAATAAATGAAAGCCTTGGTGAGCATAAGAGACTTCTTTCAAAAACATTTAAAAATTATAATTTTACCAAACTTTTGGCCGTCAGTGTAAATATGTTTTTGTTCTATATAATAAAAGTGTTGTTGAAAATATATCAAATGTGATCTTTTAATATTGAATATAAATGTATAAAGTATTATAATGCCATTAATTTTATAATATTAACAAATTCTCATTTTTTACATTTATAAAAGGGCTACAAACATGTGAACTGGTTCCAATTGGTTATGAATTTGTCACAGTATTTTTACATGTATAGATAAATTATGCATGGATTTTGCTGGATAGGACAAACTGGATTTGTTTGGTTTTTAAACAGTAGATGGCAGCAAATGTATATGAAAACATTTCTGTTTTTGGTTTATAGTTCAGCACCTTTCATGGACTGTCCCCATTGTTTCAACACTATGTATACTACTAAGAGTATTCACTCTATATACAGTCATTTAATTACATCGAAACAACATCAAGTAACAGAACAGTTTGGGCGTTTGACTGTATTGAATTTTTAACTCTTAACATGTCATCTTCCTGTTCCAGCTCCATCTTCGGTTCATCGCAGACCAGCCCGAACTGATGGAGGAGGCAGAAAGCGTGTCGGCACACCTGGAGGAGACATGGATGTCCATGCAGATGCTACTAAATCAGAACATTTGTCTGTTGTCTTATATCAAGAGTGCACTACTGTAAAGCACATCTCTCCATCACAGACCTCCTTTTGCTTTTCTGAGATGTTGTTGACTGTTTGTATCAGACTAAATGTTCTTGCGCTTTTTTGTTAAAACAAATTAAAAGTATACAAAATCTATGCGAGTTTTCTTTGGTCACTTTATTTTAAGGTCAAATTTTCACTATTAATTTTCAAAATTCAAAGTTGAAAATTTACTTAGGCCATTCAAAGTGTAGATGAGTTTGTTTCCTCATCAGAAAAGATTTGAAGAAATGTAGCATCGCATTACTTGCTCACCAGTCGATCCTCTGCAGTGAATGGGTGCCATCAGAATGAGCATCCAAACAGCTGATAAAAACATCACAATAATCCACAAGTAATTCACACAACTCCAGTCCATCAATTAACATCTTGTGAAGTGAAAAGCTGCGTGTTTGTAATAAATCCCTTGTAAGAACCTTTATCTTAAAACCGTTGGTTCTGACCCCCCCCCAAAAAAAACAGCCCATAATAGTAGATGTCTGCACGGGGCTATTTAAAAAAAAATAAATATATTTGTCAAAATACTAAATTCGTTTGACATTTTTCTGTTAACATGGTAGGAAAAGTGTAGCAGAGAAAAATAAATAAATATGACATCTGTCATTTAAATTTATAGGCTAAGCAAAATATAAACAAAACCGAGTTGACCGTCGTGCAAGGACAGCGCATCTACACTTTGCTCCATCCTTATTCTGCAGAAAGTGCATAGTCCGAGTGCAGGCTACCGGTATAAGAATAAAGCGAATAAAGCGCAGATATGCTGTTCTGAATGGATGTCGGGAACGGGATATTGTTAGACCGCCCGCTCCCGTTCAAATTACACCAGAGTTACCGACCGCTACCGCGTTTTATTCGGGAATGGCGCAATAAATCTGGTCGATTCTGCGGGAATGCAGACCACTAATAGTGCTTCATTGAGTGAAAATGTCCATCCCCTGTTGTCCTGTAGTATCAAAATCCACCAACATACTTGTTTAGAACTGTTTTGGACTGTTTTTGCTCGTAAATGGTTTTTGATCTGTGCCTATTTCTCTCCTGATTCAGACGAGAAGACCTTTTCAATGGAGAAAGCAATATGATGGATAGAAGCAACAGTTTGAAGTTAAATAAAAAAAATCTTAATGATTAATTTATTACAAACATGCAGTTTTTCGCTTCACACGACCTGAATTGATGGACTTGAGTCGTGTGGATTACTTGGGGACCATTTCGATGTTCTTATCAGCTGTTTGGACTCTCATTCTGACGGCACCCATTCACTGCTAAATACATTCAATATATATATATATATTATTTCATTTGCATTTTGTATGTTGAAGTACTGAATTAACTCAAATTAAATAAAACTAAAACTTAATAAAAAACCTATATAGACATAGGTGAACTATTCCTTTAATATTTTATCCTCTAAAGCAACGGTAATAGTAAATACTTGGACCACTGTGCATAACATATATATATATATATATATATATATATATTTACTTTTAGTCATTTAGCAGACGCTTTTAATCAAACTACATTAGTTTATCAGTAATCCTAAAAAAATAACACAGAGCCAAACACGCATGCTACAATAACAACAACTTACTGACACATAGTAAGAAATGGTTATAAAAAACTGAAACAGAAGTGAAAGAAGTAGTAGGAAAGAGGAGAAATAAAATGCGATACTTATTATATATGCACACACCTCCATTATTTTGCATACAGATCCTATGTATACATTGCCTCCCAGTTCTTATTATTTGTATGACTGAGCCTGGAGGAAGTGAATGTGTGAGATGAGAGTGATGCTGGTGGTTAGTTGGGATTGTGGTTGTTTTGCGTTGAGCAGATACTGAACAGATGGGTCTCTCTGTGTGGGAGCCTAGAACACTCCTGCACTGCTTGAGCTTTAAAGGATGACCAGTCATGCAGGCCAGTACAGATCTGGACTCAGTGTGGGTGATTTCTTCCTCATAGCACATTCAAAACGTCATTGAAAGTGGCATATTTGAAAAATTAAAGAAAAATATGTATGCATTTTTTTTTTATTCATATATGTATTTATTTAGTCAGTAATTTTCTAGCCTCGAGTTTGGCGCTCCAAGCACAGTTAGCAAACTATAGTGTGTTATATTATTATTAATTTATGTAAACAATCTATAATAAAGCGATGAAAAAGGACAGCGCTTTATCGCTATACATTCCATACTAATCCTGTTGCCATGTTACCTCAGCGATCTGTTCGCGAGCGTATTTCAGCGCACTATATAATAATATAGTTGACATGAATGAATGAATGAATGAATGAATGAATGAATGAATGAATGAATGAATGAATGAATGCATAATATACTTGTGTAGCCTACATTTCAAGAACAATTTGTTTTACTACCTTTGTCGGATTAAAACCAACAGGGAAATCAAACCCTCCCATAATACGAACTTGAATTTCTGGTGAAATATGGCCCGGGATTTCAAGACAGACTTAGACTGACCCAGCTAGTTGTATTACAGTGTGTCAGTGATCAGGGCTGCACTGGGACAAAAAATCGGCCCTGGCATTTTTTGGTCCAGGCGGCCTTTTTCCAGGTTTCTTTTATTAATAGAAAGTTCAGAAGAACAGCATTTATCTGAAATATCATTTTTTTGGTAACATTATAAATGTCTCTATCGTCACTTTTGATCAATTTAAAGCATCCTTGCTAAATAAAAGTATTAATTTCTATCATTTCCCAAAAAAAAATAAAAAAAATAAAAAATAAAATAAAAATACTGACTCCAAGCTTTTGAATGGTATA